GCGATCCTTCCGCCTCAGCCTTCCAAGTAGTTGGAACTACAGGCGCACACTACCACACCCAGCTAATTTTTGATTTATTGTAGAGATGAGTTCTCGCCAAGTTGCCCGGGCGGGTCTCGAACCTGCGGGCTCAGGCCATTCACTCACCTCGGCCTCTCAAAGCGCTGAGATTACAGGCTGAGTCACTGAGCCCGGCCAGGGGTGTTTTCTATAAACATTAGTGAGTTATAACACCCAAGGGCAGTGGCTCACGCCTGTCATCCCAGGCCTTTGGGAGGCCAAGGCGGGAGGAATGCTTGAGGTCAGGAGTTTGAGACCAGCTTGGGTAACGTAGCAAGACCTCTTCTCCGTCACACACACACACACAGAGTTCCCTGAGACACCGGTGACAATCCCAAAGACTGGGGTCCATTCAGTCCCATGAAAAACCACACAAAAGCAGCAGCGTGGGCCAAGCCGTCTCCTGCGTTCATTTCTGCAAAGTCTTTGCTCCACCAATGTGAGAAGATGAAAGCAGGCGACAGCTTGGGGTTTAAAAATGTTCAAAACCAATGTTTATTTGGCGGCTGTTACATGGGGTAGATACTGGGAGGCGCGCGACTCGCCACAGACAACAGAGGGCACAGTCCCCAGGACACCTCGGGCCGGAGAACCATCACCTCGGACCCCGCGAGGCTTCCCTTCAAGTAGCAGGGCTGGCAGCGATGTCTAGGAAGGCCCCGCTCCCGCGTGAGTTCTGCCCACCCGGTGGCCTAGGAGGAGGGGCACGGAGGACCACGGGCGTGGAGTCCCTGTGTCCTTTAAAACAGCACGGTTGGACCTGCTTGAGATTACGGGTGAAAACAGTGTTGGAGTGACGTTGGCCTGGAAAACGGGGCCAGGCCCACCCACGTGGGGACCCTCACGTGGGATGCGTGATAGATTCCCAAGCCCCTTGGGCTTCTGGCCAGGGCTGGGTGCGTGTTTGCATCGCCGTTGTCAGTCTCTACCACCACCCCCATGAGTGCATGGGACCGGGTGAGTTGTCTGCGACGTCTCGAAGCACAGTGCCTATGTTAGGTGCACGGGAAGGGGTTAGCTACGCCTAGTGGTGTGTCGGCCTCGCGTGGGCTGGCGGCACACGGTGGGCTGGTCATGGTTGCTAGCGGCGAGGACAGGGCGTCCTAGGTGGTGGGCGTCGCCCGCGGCAGATCCTGAGTGGCCAGCTCAGATGTGGTGACAGGTGGCCACAGGTGTGCGCGCCGGTGCCGGCTTCCTTTGGTAGGCTTGTTTCTTTGGAAGAAAACATGAGACTCGACGTGTGGGTTGGCGTCTGAGGTAATAAGTTAAGAGTAAGCACCACAGTGGACCCTCGGGCGAGGCCTGGGCAGGAGACTGGCCTCGGCCGGCTCACAGGTTCTTCATGCACACCTGGCAGCGGCTGATGTGCGTGCGGATGAGGCCGGCCTTGAGCGTGTCGGCCGAGGGTGAGCCCTGAAAGCTCTGCTCGGGGATGGTGGTCAGCCAGAAGCTGTACTTGTTGGCGTAGTAGTGGCAGGTCCCCCGGCCACCGTTGCACTCGATGAAGGGCGTGGCGCGGAAGTCCTCCAGACAGCTGCCCGGCGACACCAGCGACTGGCCGCCGCCCTCGTCCCCTGCTGCGGTGTGCTGCGCGGGGTGGAGACAGGTTAGGGTTAGGGACACACGCTGGGCTCGGGCCACCACCTGCTTCCATCTACTTTTACGGGACAACAGACTGTGGACAACGTCTGTGTCAGTGGGGCCCGCACCGCACACTCGAGTATGCCTCGTCTGGTAGGGGGTTAGGCAAAGTCGCCCTGGGTCCCCGGGGGGAAGGCCCTGGGCGCCGGCGTGTGCCGTGCCACAGGGGAGGTTCACTGACCAAATCACGGGCATGGTTGCCTGTTCCGTAACGAGAGCAGGTGGGATTGGACCACAGTTGATGACGTTTGGAAAAACACAAAACAAGCTGGGCTCGGTGGCTCAGCCTGTAATCCTGCGCTTGGGAGGTTCAGGTGAGTGGATTGCCTGAGCCCGCGGGTTCGAGACCCGCCTGGCAACTTGGCGAGACCTCATCTCAACAATAAATCAAAAAATTAGCCGGTTGTGGTAGCGTGTGCCTGTAGTTTCAGCTACTTGGAAGGCAGAGGCGGAAGGATAGTCAGAGCACAGCAGGTCGAGGCTGCGGTGGCCGGGAGCATGCCACTGCACTCCAGTCTGGGTGACAGAGTGAGACTTCAACTCAAAAAAAAAAAGAAAAAGAAAAACACAAAACAAAAGCATCCACTAATTATCCATCCAGGCCAGACTGGGTGGCTCAGCTTGTCATCCCAGCACTTTGGGAGGCCAAGGCGAGTGGATTGCCTGAGCCTGTGGGTTCGAGACCAGCCTGGGCAACTTGGTGAGACCTCATCTCTACAATTAAAAAAAAACTAGCTGGGTTTGGGAGCGCGTGCCTGTAGTTCTAGCTACTTGGAAGGCCGAGGTGAAAGGATCGCCAGAGCCCAGCAGGTTGACGCTGGGGTGGCCGTGAGTGTGCCACTGCACTCCAGCCTGGGCAATGGAGTGAGACTCCGACTCAAAAAAAAAAAAAAAATCCTCCATCCAGAGAATGCCTGACCGGGCGTAGCAGCTCACGCTGCAACCCAGTACTGGGGAGGCCAAGGCGGCAGCTGCCTCTAGTCTGGGCAACAGAGCCCAACAGTGCACATACGCCCACACCCACGCACACTTGTGCACTCACTGTTCGTGCATACACACAGTGCACACTTGTGAACACTCAGGCACAGCACACATGCACCACACACCCATGTACACCTGTGTGCACACCCATTCACGCACACAGTGCCCACACATGCCTACCCGTTCTAACATGCTCTTCTCAGTGGACAAGTCTCTGGCTTTGGGCCTCCCAGCAGCGAACGGATGGTCAGAGAATGACACGAGGCTGGCCCCGAGAAGGGCCTTGAACACTCCCAATCCGTGTGGACCACAGACCAGCAGAGTTGGGACCGGAGGAGCTCAAGGACCGCCGGCAAGCCACCGGCAGGCACCGCAAGGCCGCTCTGAGAGAGGCATGGGGGGGCAGCCAGCACCTTCTGCTGGTGACACTCCTGCCCTGGGCACATCCCAGGGCTCTGCCCTTGCTCCAGCTCCCACCTGGGCAGGAAGGTCCCATTTAGAGGGTACACAGCCATCGTCAGTGTCAATGTGACTGTCTGTGGTTCTTAGACATCATGGTGCTTCCAGCCTGTCCGCCCTGACCCTGGCTCTGGGAGGGCAGGGGACTCTCTCATTGCCCACGCCTGCTGGGGATGTCTGGCAGAGGGTCACATGCACAGAGGATTGTGTCTGCTTCCCTGCTGACACTCATTTGTGACACAACTGCTAACACAGCAAGGGACATCTGACCTGCGTGGATACCGCGCGGTCACGCCCTCCACAGGGAAGAAGCCTCGTTTATTGTTGAACTTAACCATGGGTGCTAAAAAAGATGGGAGCAAAAAGCTTACTTCCTGCAGACCCAGGGCCCCTTGGAAGTGCCTGTGGTTTAAACCCAGAGCTGGCTCTGCCGGCCCTCCAGTCGCCTTAAACGACACGCCTCTTGAAAAGCAGAACGCAGCTGGGCTCGGTGGCTCAGCCTGTCATCCCACGCCTTTGGGAGGCTGAGGTGAGTGGATTGCCTGAGCCCGCGGGTTCGAGATCCGCCTGGGCAACTTGGTGAGACCTCATTTCTACAATAAATCAAAAATTATCCAGACGTGGTAGCGCGTGCCTGTAGTTCCGGCTACTCGGAAGGCTGAGGCGGAAGGATCGCCGGAGCCCAGCAGGTCGAGGCTGCAGTGGCCGGGAGCGGCCACTGCACTCCAGTTTGGGCGACAGAGTGAGACTCCAACTCAAAAAAAAAAAAAAAAAAGAAAAGCAGAATGCTGCCTGTCCCTGCCTAGATTTTAGGATGCTGTGGCTTCAGCCTGTCTCACAGTCAGACCCCAGTGAAGCATTAGGGTTGCCACATGTGCCTGTCTTTGCCTTTCCTAGAATCTAGATTTTTTTTCCTATTGTTTTGGAAAAGGTGGGCAATGACCATGTCATGCATGTCTTGTGTTACTTATATGATTTATGAACCATGTAACAGGCTGGGAGCCCAGCAAACAGCCAGAGTCAAGACAACTACGACATGCAGGAGCGCCATGGAAGACCCTCTGTCCCCAGCGGGGCTTGCCTTCTCCTTGCTATGGTGTCCCTGATGACGGTGTGACTTCCGTGACACCAAAGCGACGGGCAGTCAGTCTGCCCCTGGACATGTGGGCCACGTCCGGGAGCTCTGGTCAAACAGGGACACACTGGCACCGTACAAGGCTCTTGTGGAAGGACGAGCGTATTGGGACGGAGCCCCAGCCTACACCAAGGAGCACTTTCGTCAAGAAGTAAAATCCGAGGAGACACCATGGGGGTGCCCCCTCCACCCTTGATGTCAGGCTGAGCCTGGGCTCACCAGAGCTGGGCGGGGCGGGGGGTTCAATTTCATACCCAAAGGCAGTCTGGAATGGCTATTCCAGAATTTTCTCCATTCATGTTTATCCGTTTTAAGCCCACCAGTGACAGATCGATTTCTCGAGGGTATTCCAGACTCCACCTAAGATTCTTGGGAGTCTAGATAAAATTCTTCCCTCTACTGAGACTTCTGACAACTGAAAACAGCTTTACCTCTGGTGCTGTGCCTAGTGAGATGGAGAAACGGGCCAGACATATCCTAATTTCACTCCGCATAAAGGCTTGGGGGCGAAGCCACGGTCTTCTCTGGGTGGGGGCAGCCCCATGCCTTGGTACGAGCCTCAACCAGCCAAGTGCAAGCTGGTTTCCAGCTCCCACTCATCCCCTGCCACGAGGGCCCTTGTGCAGTGCACAACCTGAGAAACCTGAGAAACCGTCCTGTCCGATCCTTCCTACAAAGGCAGTTGTCCTGCTGTGTCCCCTATGCTTGAGGGTCGGGGGGGCAGAGAGAGAGAGAGCGAGCGTGCACACGCGGGCCAGTATCACATACCATGAGGAAGGAATACCCAATCCACAGACTGCGCCACCCAGCCGGGCAGTGGGGGATGGAGACGTCTTGGCTGTGGACGGCGATGGCGACGGCTGGGGCCTCGCACACAGAGCAGCGACTGATGTAGGGCTTGATGTTGTCCTCGGCCACCGGCATCATGGGCAGCGGGGCGGTGGTGGACAGCCAGTAGGACTTGTCGTTGCGGCTGGCGTAGTAGCAGACGTCCCCGGGGTTGCAGTACAGGAAGGGCATGGTGCTGAACCGGGCCAGGCAGGAGCCCGCCAGCCCTGCGGGAGGAGGAGGTACTGGGAGGGCAGGCACGGCGCGGCTGGGGAGGCTCCGGCCAGCCGTGCCAGGGCCCGAGGTCCCACGCTGCGGACTTGCCAAGGGCCGCCTGGTGGGGTCCAGCCGCCCATGGGCGACCGAGCCAAGGCTTCCCAGTTGCTCTTTTTTTTTTTTTGAGTCGGAGTCTCACACCAGCCCAGGCTGATCGCGACGATCACAGCTCACAGCAGCCTCGACCTCCTGGGGTCAGGTGATCCTCCCGCCTCAGCCTCCCAAGTAGGTGGGACTACAGGCAGGCACCATCCTGCCCAACTCATTTTTTGAATTTCTTTTGTGGAGACGAGGTATCTCTATGTTGCCCAGGCTGGTCTTGAACTACTGGGTTCGAGCAGTCCTCCCGCCTTGGCCTCCCAAAGTGTTGAGATGACAGGCGTGAGCCGCCGCGTCTGGCCTCAATTTAGGATATTTTCATCTTACGATGAGTGTCAAAGTGACCCGTCATAATTCAAGGAGCAAGTGTGTCAAGAGGTAAAATCTAAGAGACACTCGGTGGTGCAGCCTCAGCTGGTCAGACTGAAGGGTCTCGACTCTGTCCCCGCTACTGCACACAGGCCCCTTGCCGGAACCCTGGGGGCTGCCATCTCCAGAGAGCCCGAAGATGGCCTTTATCTCAGGGCCAGTGAATGGCGGGGCCAAGCAGGTTCCCATTCCACGCTGGCTGCCTAAAAGCTTAGAGCCAGGGCTGGGTGCAGCGGCTCACGTCTGCCATTCCAGCTCTTTGGGAGGCCGACGTGGGAGGGGTTCGAGACCAGCCTGGGCAACTTGGCGAGACCTCGTCTCTATAAATAACCAAAAACTTATAACTGGGCGTGGTAGCACATGCCTGTAGTTCTGGCTCCTTGGAAAGCTGAGGCGGAGGGATGGCCAGAGCCCAGCAGGTCGATGCTGGGGTGGCCATGAGCATGCCTCAGCACTCCACACTGGGCAACAGAGTGAGACTCCACTTAAAAAAAAAGTAGCCAGGGGTTTGTGGCATGCGCCTGTAGTCTCGGCCTCCCAAAGCACTGGGGTTATAGGCGCGAGCCATCGTGCCCAGCCCGAATGCCTTTTAAAGGCTTCCTTGAATAGTCATACATCTACTTACTGGGGATCTGCCCAGGAAGGACCGGTGTGAAGCCCACCCCTGGCCCCCGCCGGACTCCCGTGCGTCTACAGAACTTGGGCACAAGCAGGGAGGAGGGGCAGTGAGGGGAGCCCCCGGTGGAGAGGGGTGGGTGTTGGCGTGAGTCCCCCAGAGCCTGCAAAGGCGACACTCAAGGGTTTCTCGGTCCCTCGTGAACTCCCGGGGATGTGGTGAAACCGGAGAAAACCAGGAGAAACCCCTCAGCCCGGGAGGATTCCCAAGTCCCCCGCGGCACGTGACCTTGACCTCGGGCAGGCACGGGACAGGTGGGCGGGTGACACCTACCCAGGTCCTGGTTGTGGGCCTTCTCCTGGCCTTCGAAGTACAGCAGGCTGTACCCGCTCCAGAGCTTGTTCATGCCCACGGGGCACATGGGCTCCTGGTCTGTCTGGCTGTGCTTGACCAGCAGGTAGCCGATGCTGACGCTGCGGCCGGGCATGCCCGGCAGGCCCGGGCTCCCTGGACGGCCCGGCTCACCTAGGGCCGGGAGAGAGAGAGTGCGGCACATTTCCAGCTGCCCCGCGGAAACCCCGGGACCCAGGCGGCAGGACGGTGTCCGGGCACACCTCGAATGGCTGCCCTTCTTCTTCCCGGGGCTCGGGGCTCCATCTTTTCAGACCAAGCGCCTCCTGGGAGGCTCTCCCTGCATTTTGTGCTCAGGACACGGAAGGCTGATAAGTGGTTCTCAGAGTGGAGGACAGATCCCTTCCCATGAGTGTGCGGGGTGTGCCCCGGAGGTGGAGTGACCAGAAGGGTGTTAGGGCAGCCCCCCACCCTGGCAGGGCCTCCCTTCCCGGGACGCTGCTGGGAGTGGCGGCTCATCGCAGGCCAAACTCTCCACGCCCTTGGCCGGGCCCTGGTTCGACTGTCCTTCCCGTGCGGACTTGAAATCCACCACCCTGCAGCCCCACCCCCACCCCGGGGCGCCATCCTGCCCCTGGAGCGCCCTGGGGGGCGACAGGCTTCAACACAACCCTTTGAGTGTTGGAAACCAGCCGTCCCCTCCTGTCCCAGGGCACCCAGCATGGTGCCCCGTTCTCCCAGGCACCCCACCTCCACTCTCTGTCGTGGCCTCCCGCCCTGGCTGGCCTCCGACCTGTCCTTGGTAGGTCACGGTCGCCAACATACCCACACCTGTGGCCTCAGGGCATTCCTCGGAGGACAGGGCGGGGCCCGGGAGTGGTGTCCCCGGTGACCCCGACACCGGTAATGCCACCTGTGTGATTTTTCGCACGGTGGCTCATACCACTGGCTGGAATGTACTCAGGTTAATGTAAACAAACCCCAGGGATTTTTTTTTTTTTTTT